TCCTCCTGCCCTCCTGCCCTCCTGCCCTCCTGCCCTCCTGCCCTCCTCCCCCTCCTGCCCTCCTCCTGCCCTGATGGTGGCGGGGTTGTGAATGGCTGGTGGAGGCTGGGATGAATGTCTACATCATTATGGTGTTGTGGTGGTTAGTACTCCCTGGATGGCCCTTCCCAGGGCTCTCTCACGCGGCAGTTAGTGCTCCCTGGATGGCCCTTCCCAGGGCTCTCTCAGGCGGCAGTTAGTGCTCCCGGGATGGCCCTTCCCAGGGCTCTCTCAGGCGGCAGTTAGTGCTCCCTGGATGGCCCTTCCCAGGGCTCTCTCAGGCGGCAGTTAGTGCTCCCTGGATGGTCCTTCCCAGGGCTCTCTCAGGCGGCAGTTAGTGCTCCCGGGAAGGTCCTTCCCAGGGCTCTCTCACGCGGCAGTTAGTGCTCCCGGGATGGCCCTTCCCAGGGCTCTCTCACGCGGCAGTTAGTGCTCCCGGGATGGCCCTTCCCAGGGCTCTCTCAGGCGGCAGTTAGTGCTCCCTGGATGGTCCTTCCCAGGGCTCTCTCAGGCGGCAGTTAGTGCTCCCTGGATGGTCCTTCCCAGGGCTCTCTCAGGCGGCAGTTAGTGCTCCCTGGATGGTCCTTCCCAGGGCTCTCTCAGGCGGCAGTTAGTGCTCCCTGGATGGCCCTTCCCAGGGCTCTCTCAGGCGGCAGTTAGTGCTCCCTGGATGGCCCTTCCCAGGGCTCTCTCACGCGGCAGTTAGTGCTCCCTGGATGGCCCTTCCCAGGGCTCTCTCACGCGGCAGTTAGTGCGCTCTCTCCTTAACTCTCCCTCTTAACTCTCCCCTTAGCTCTCCCCTTAACTCTCCCCCTTAACTCTCCCCTTAACTCTCCCCTTAACTCTCCCCTTAACTCTCCCCCTTAACTCTCCCTCTTAACTCTCCCCTTAACTCTCCCCTTAACTCTCCCCCTTAACTCTCCCCTTAACTCTCCCCTTAACTCTTCCCCTTAACTCTCCCCTTAACTCTCCCCTTAACTCTCCCCTTAACTCTCCCCTTAACTCTCCCCCTTAACTCTCCCCTTAACTCTCCCCCTTAACTCTCCCCTTAACTCTCCCCTTAACTCTCCCCCTTAACTCTCCTCTTAACTCTCCCCTTCACCAACAGTTAAGGGACAGTCTGCCCTTGACCAACAGTTAAGGGACAGTCTCCCCTTCACCAACAGTTAAGAGACAGTCTCCCCTTCACCAACAGTTAAGAGACAGTCTCCCCTTCACCAACAGTTAAGAGACAGTCTCCCCTTCACCAACAGTTAAGAGACAGTCTCCCCTTCACCAACAGTTAAGAGACAGTCTCCCCTTCACCAACAGTTAAGAGACAGTCTGCCCTTCACCAACAGTTAAGAGACAGTCTCCCCTTCACCAACAGTTAAGAGACAGTCTGCCCTTCACCAACAGTTAAGAGACAGTCTGCCCTTCACCAACAGTTAAGAGACAGTCTGCTCTTCACCAACAGTTAAGGGACAGTCTCCCCTTCACCAACAGTTAAGAGACAGTCTCCCCTTCACCAACAGTTAAGGGACAGTCTGCCCTTCACCAACAGTTAAGAAACAGTCTGCTCTTCACCAACAGTTAAGAGACAGTCTGCTCTTCACCAACAGTTAAGAGACAGTCTCCCCTTCACCAACAGTTAAGAGACAGTCTCCCCTTCACCAACAGTTAAGAGACAGTCTCCCCTTCACCAACAGTTAAGGGACAGTCTGCTCTTCACCAACAGTTAAGGGACAGTCTGCTCTTCACCAACAGTTAAGGGACAGTCTGCCCTTCACTAACAGTTAAGAGACAGTCTGCTCTTCACCAACAGTTAAGAGACAGTCTGCTCTTCACCAACAGTTAAGGGACAGTCTGCTCTTCACCAACAATTAAGGGACAGTCTGCCCTTCACCAACAGTTAAGAGACAGTCTCCCCATCACCAACAGTTAAGAGACAGTCTCCCCATCACCAACAGTTAAGAGACAGTCTGCTCTTCACCAACAGTTAAGGGACAGTCTGCTCTTCACCAACAGTTAAGGGACAGTCTCCCCTTCACCAACAGTTAAGGGACAGTCTGCTCTTCACCAACAGTTAAGAGACAGTCTCCCCTTCACCAACAGTTAAGAGACAGTCTCCCCTTCACCAACAGTTAAGAGACAGTCTCCCCTTCACCAACTAAGAGACAGTCTGCCCTTCACCAACAGTTAAGAGACAGTCTCCCCTTCACCAACAGTTAAGAGACAGTCTGCTCTTCACCAACAGTTAAGAGACAGTCTGCTCTTCACCAACAGTTAAGGGACAGTCTCCCCTTCACCAACAGTTAAGGGACAGTCTCCCCTTCACCAACAGTTAAGGGACAGTCTCCCCTTCACCAACAGTTAAGGGACAGTCTCCCCTTCACCAACAGTTAAGGGACAGTCTGCTCTTCACCAACAGTTAAGAGACAGTCTCCCCTTCACCAACAGTTAAGAGACAGTCTCCCCTTCACCAACAGTTAAGAGACAGTCTCCCCTTCACCAACAGTTAAGAGACAGTCTGCCCTTCACCAACAGTTAAGAGACAGTCTCCCCTTCACCAACAGTTAAGAGACAGTCTGCTCTTCACCAACAGTTAAGAGACAGTCTGCTCTTCACCAACAGTTAAGGGACAGTCTGCTCTTCACCAACAGTTAAGGGACAGTCTCCCCTTCACCAACAGTTAAGGGACAGTCTCCCCTTCACCAACAGTTAAGGGACAGTCTCCCCTTCACCAACAGTTAAGGGACAGTCTGCTCTTCACCAACAGTTAAGAGACAGTCTCCCCTTCACCAACAGTTAAGAGACAGTCTCCCCTTCACCAACAGTTAAGAGACAGTCTCCCCTTCACCAACAGTTAAGAGACAGTCTGCCCTTCACCAACAGTTAAGAGACAGTCTGCCCTTCACCAACAGTTAAGAGACAGTCTGCTCTTCACCAACAGTTAAGGGACAGTCTTCTCTTCACCAACAGTTAAGGGACAGTCTGCTCTTCACCAACAGTTAAGGGACAGTCTGCCCTTCACTAACAGTTAAGAGACAGTCTGCTCTTCACCAACAGTTAAGAGACAGTCTCCCCTTCACCAACAGTTAAGAGACAGTCTGCCCTTCACCAACAGTTAAGAGACAGTCTGCCCTTCACCAACAGTTAAGAGACAGTCTGCTCTTCACCAACAGTTAAGAGACAGTCTCCTCTTCACCAACAGTTAAGAGACAGTCTGCCCTTCACTAACAGTTAAGAGACAGTCTGCCCTTCACTAACAGTTAAGAGACAGTCTGCCCTTCACCAACAGTTAAGAGACAGTCTGCCCTTCACCAACAGTTAAGAGACAGTCTGCTCTTCACCAACAGTTAAGGGACAGTCTTCTCTTCACCAACAGTTAAGGGACAGTCTGCTCTTCACCAACAGTTAAGGGACAGTCTGCTCTTCACCAACAGTTAAGGGACAGTCTGCTCTTCACCAACAGTTAAGGGACAGTCTCCCCTTCACGAACAGTTAAGAGACAGTCTCCCCTTCACCAACAGTTAAGGGACAGTCTGCTCTTCACCAACAGTTAAGGGACAGTCTGCTCTTCACCAACAGTTAAGGGACAGTCTGCTCTTCACCAACAGTTAAGAGACAGTCTGCTCTTCACCAACAGTTAAGGGACAGTCTGCTCTTCACCAACAGTTAAGAGACAGTCTGCTCTTCACCAACAGTTAAGGGACAGTCTCCCCTTCACCAACAGTTAAGGGACAGTCTGCTCTTCACCAACAGTTAAGGGACAGTCTGCTCTTCACCAACAGTTAAGGGACAGTCTCCCCTTCACGAACAGTTAAGGGACAGTCATAACAATTTGTATACTTTTATTGGAAATTCATTTTCAATAGAAACATTCTTGAACCTGTTTTAATACATATTACAAAACCATACAATGTGTATATTAGTTGTGGTTTGTATAATCCGGATCCATTTTTGACTGATCAGTTAAAAGCCGATTTTGAGTAAGAATAATAATTAACAATTACCTCAATATAATATTAATAACATTTCTTTGTCTCATTAATGATTCCTGCAACTTTCATATATTGTTCACATCAATTTCCATCCTCTTAACCCATTCATCCAATCGTCGCTACAGTGGCGACTCCTCTTTTTTGGGGAGGATGAAATAGAGTCCTGTGAAGGTGTCCAACAAGGTGTCCCTGACCCCCTCCTTGTCTGCCTAGCTATCAACGCTGGCGCCTGATAGTGTGACAAGCGAGCTGAACATCTGCCACCTGGATGGTGGCACTCTCGTTGGCGCCTGGATGGTGGCACTGTCGCTGGCACCTGGATGGTGGCACTGTCGCTGGCGCCTGGATGGTGGCACTCTCGCTGGCACCTGGATGGTGGCACTCTCGCTGGCGCCTGGATGGTGGCACTGTCGCTGGCGCCTGGATGGTGGCACTCTCGCTGCCACCTGGATGGTGGCACTCTCGCTGCCACCTGGATGGTGGCACTCTCGCTGGCGCCTGGATGGTGGCACTCTCGCTGCCACCTGAATGGTGGCACTCTCGCTGGCGCCTGGATGGTGGCACTCTCGCTGCCACCTGGATGGTGGCACTCTCGCTGGCACTCCAGGTACCAGTTTGGAGGATATAAGGGAAATCTAGCACTTATATTGAAAATTAAAAAAAGTTGGTCTCTTGCAATGCCTTTTTGTTGGTGTCGGGAGAATGGATCATTAGCAGGTTGGCTAATGAAGAATTCTCTCGAAATCCAAGAAAAACGCCTTGAAGGAGACCAACTTTGTCTGCACCATCACATGCCCACTTGGGGATTGTCCGCCCTAAAGAACTCAATATATAGGCAAGACAACAACACCTCTCTTGTTTCGTAAAAGAAGCGAGAGAAGTGTTAACTCGTCACATGTAAAAAGTGCCAAACCTTCTGGCGATAAGACATTCCAAGTATATTATAAACCGCTCATGTTGACATTATTATTATTGCAGGGAGAACGAGGTCAACGACCGTGAGGAGTTGTTTAACGAGCGCGGCGGCGGCGGCTCGTCCGGTGGCGGGAATTGTGATGAGCAATCACAGTCGCCGGACGAGGCAATATCGCCGGCAGAAGCGGGAATAGAGTTCTCTAATCACTCCCACCACGACCACACGACGACCTTACTGGTGGAGGTGGTCGTGGGTGTGGCCACCCTTGTCCCTGCTCTGTGACGGTGTTATCCTGAGGATAACACAGGATAACACAGAGTACCGTCTTGGCATTAAGGAAGATGAAATAGTCTGCCGAACTGTTGGTGTTGTGTGACGGGTTGTGACCGTGGAAGAATGTTGTGGTCGTATTTCATGACACAACCTATTTATGTGTACATGTTATACATGATGAGCACTTGTGGTTAATGTAAACACTTTAAAGTCGCTGGTGATACCCCGCCAAACACACACCGAAACTACGACGTTGGTACAACGTTCGAACAAGTTTTAACACTTCCTAACCAGTTATAACAACCAATATATCAAGTTGTAACAACGTTCTAATACGTCATAAACACGTTAAGCCAAGATGTAACAACTTTATTACAAGTTGTAACAAGCGGAAAATAGAGACAGTTTCGGTTTGTGTTTCCATGGATATTCATATCCAAGTGTTTTAGTTCGTGGACATGTTTAGTGAGGACCCGGTGAGTGAAGTGTCGCAGGTCAGGACAGGCGTGGCTGGGAGGACACCTCTCCGTGACCTGCCAGATGGCTAGTCCTTATCACTACATCTTGACATTAACAGTGCTTGATGGTGAATGTGAGGGTTCAACTCCTGATCCAATAAACAAATCCACAAGGGCCGTGACAAGGATTCGAACCTGCGTCCGGGAGCATCCCAGACACTGCCTTAATCGACTGAGCTACGACAGGGTAAAAGGGTTGAAACTGAAGTTCTACTGAACTTACTGGATCCTGCAGCCTCTCCGAGACACAAACCAGGGTTTTACACAACTCCCCCATGCACTCGAGCTATGTCAATAGGCCGTTCTCCCTCTTCGCCCTTACATCATCACACACAGAGATCACACTAACGTGATGCATCAAATGAACAAATGTAAGGGAGAAGAGGGAGAACGGCCTATTGACATAGCTCGAGTGCATGGGGGAGTTGTGTAAAACCCTGGTTTGTGTCTCGGAGAGGCTGCAGGATCCAGTAAGTTCAGTAGAACTTCGGTTTCAACCCTTTTACCCTGTCGTAGCTCAGTCGATTAAGGCAGTGTCTGGAATGCTCCCGGACGCAGGTTCGAATCCTCGTCACGGCCCTTGTGGATTTGTTCATTGGATGCATCACATTAGTGTGATCTCTGTGTGTCCTGATCCAATAGTTCGATCCCAACACTCTAGACGATTAACAACGCACAAACACCAGGGCTCTATCAGGGAACCTATAATCACCACACACAACGAGACAACCACCAGGGATAGTTTGACGAGCAACACCGAAATAACGGATAGATACAATGACGCTAGAAGATCAGACATCAGCGAGGCGCTGCGCATCAAGACACCCAGACCAGCCATCAATAACCAGCTAACACACAGCTAACACACAGCTAACACACAGCTAACACACAGCTAACACACAGGTAACACACAGGTAACACACAGCTAACACACAGCTAACACACAACTAACACACAGCTAACACACAGGTAACACACAGCTAACACACAGCTAACACACAACTAACACACAACTAACACACAACTAACACACAACTAACACACAGCTAACACACAGCTAACACACAACTAACACACAGCTAACACACAACTAACACACAACTAACACACAGCTAACACACAACTAACACACAACTAACACACAACTAACACACAACTAACACACAACTAACACACAACTAACACACAGCTAACACACAGCTAACACACAACTAACACACAACTAACACACAGCTAACACACAGCTAACACACAGCTAACACACAACTAACACACAACTAACACACAGCTAACACACAACTAACACACAACTAACACACAGCTAACACACAGCTAACACACAGCTAACACACAACTAACACACAACTAACACACAGCTAACACACAGCTAACACACAGCTAACACACAACTAACACACAGCTAACACACAACTAACACACAACTAACACACAGCTAACACACAGCTAACACACAACTAACACACAACTAACACACAACTAACACACAGCTAACACACAGCTAACACACAGCTAACACACAACTAACACACAACTAACACACAGCTAACACACAGCTAACACACAGCTAACACACAACTAACACACAGCTAACACACAACTAACACACAACTAACACACAACTAACACACAGCTAACACACAGCTAACACACAACTAACACACAGCTAACACACAACTAACACACAGCTAACACACAGCTAACACACAACTAACACACAACTAACACACAACTAACACACAGCTAACACACAGCTAACACACAGCTAACACACAACTAACACACAACTAACACACAGCTAACACACAGCTAACACACAGCTAACACACAACTAACACACAACTAACACACAACTAACACACAGCTAACACACAGCTAACACACAGCTAACACACAGGTAACACACAGCTAACACACAACTAACACACAGCTAACACACAGCTAACACACAGCTAACACACAGCTAACACACAACTAACACACAGCTAACACACAGCTAACACACAGCTAACACACAGCTAACACACAGCTAACACACAGGTAACACACAGCTAACACACAACTAACACACAGCTAACACACAGCTAACACACAGCTAACACACAGCTAACACACAACTAACACACAGCTAACACACAGCTAACACACAGCTAACACACAGCTAACACACTTGAAGACCCCCGGGCCACTGCTGAAGCATTACTGAACGACCCTGCAAGAGGAATGTATACAAGCAGAAGAAGATAAACTGTTAACATGTCACTCTCTCTATGTTGACACATTCATCACCTTCTCAATATCCCCAGTGTAATGTCATCCATCCATATGTTACCTATTTATCCCATATGTTACCTAACCACCTCGCCATAAGAGGATAAAACCCAACGTTAAGAACGGTAGAATTTGTTTTCGAGAGTGTAAGGAGTGACCGTGTGAAACGCATCACTAGGCTCCAGACACAATAAAAAGTATAAAAATGAACTTTGGAGAGTTATTTTTTCAACTTCCTGCTTCAGTGAACGAAAAACACAAGAAATATAGAGAAGATTCGTGTCAGAATCATAAATCTAAAACTTTCAGTCGTTTTCAACAAAATGTTTAAAAGACCAATATATATATATTATATATATTTATATATATTTTATATATATATATTTATATAATATATATATCAGTTTATAAAGACAGTAATACGACTGACATAAACAGTTTATATAATCAATACTCGCATTGCTTCCACGACTACAATATTCTATTTTTGCATCTTGGTGTATGGTGAGGTGAGAGCACCTTGGTGAAGCGAGTACCTTGCTATAGCGGCACTGCTTGAGGGCACCAGTGTGGCCGCTGGTGCCCTTCACACCATTAGTAATATCCCATTAACATATAGGTCTCAAGACTGACCCCAATTATCACTCACCTCCATAATTGGTATTTGGTTATTCTACTTTGCTCTCGACTTGCTAGTACACTATCTGTTTAATAAATCTTTTACTATGTACAAACTCAAGTTGCACAAATACAATTAACACAAAACTTGCACAATTTTGTCGAATTCAACTAGCTGGATTTTACCCATCCTAAACTATGATATCCTATCTAAACCCTAATATACCCTATCCCAACCTAGGGCAACCTAGCCCATCCTAACATAAACTATCCTAACCAAATGTATCACTTTCTACGTTAAATTCAGCTACATTTATCAAAGTTTAAGCAATACTAATTTATAACACCTATCTTAACCTATAATAATCCTAACCTGTAATGTCAAATCCCAACTAGTCTTAATTTAATTTAATCCCAAGGTGACTTATCCCATCCTTAAGTAATCCATCCTCTCTATTTTTTTTAACAGCAGCTAAAGTTAAGCAAATTTCTATATCCTACAAAAAATATTCCTAATTTATACTAACAGAATATAAATCAAATAAAATCTAGTCATTTTAACCTATCCTATCCAAATTTAACCTAATTTATCCTTAATTTATCACAACCTGCTCAAATTTAATGTCGGCTAATGTATATTAACCTAACCTATGATATCCTATCCACATCTTAATTTATCAAAATTTAACCTATCCTATCTAAATTAATCCCAATATATGCTAAATTTCACATATCTGAACCTAAGATATCTTATCCAAACTAGATTTATCTTAACCTATTGTTACGACCACACATACACTAGAATGATGAATTGAAACAGTAGAGTAAAATATTAGTATCATTCTTATATCAATTCTCTCATGATGATAATACGCCAGTAGAAGATTAATTACAATAGTGTATGTAGTATTATGTAGAATTAGATATACATGAGGTAAAACTAAGGATATCTGCCAATGCTGGTAGGAGATTCACCCCTTATATGTTATCTTGAGGTTATCTTGAGATGATTTCGGGGCTTTAGTGTCCCCCCGGCCCGGTCCTCGACCAGGCCTCCACCCCCAGGAAGCAGCCCGTGACAGCTGACTAACTCCCAGGTACCTATTTACTGCTAGGTAACAGGGGCATTTAGGGTGAAAGAAACTTTGCCCATTTGTTTCTGCCTCGTGCGGGAATTGAACCCGCGCCACAGAATTACGAGTCCTGCGCGCTATCCACCAGGCTACGAGGCCCCTATGTATATATATCAGTGTAATAGTGTTTCTGTAATGGATGAGGCTAGGAATATGAGTCAAGCCAGGTGGTGAGTGAGTGAGTGAGTGAGTGCTGTGGTGGGTAACTGTGGATCACAGTTGATTGTTATTGAGTATCTTACTGAGTCCTCACCCCCACTGTTACCAGCACCCTGTTACTTGGGTTAATGTACCGCTGGTTGGAGCCTAGTGTCGGCTAGTTAGTAGTTTGTGCAGGTAATGCTTCTTACTGATTTTGATAGTTGTGGTAAGTTCCTTGATGTGATTATTTGAGCTGTGTTAAGCTCCTTGATGTGAT